GACATATATTGCTACCATGGAAAGGCTTCTTTATTGTGTTATCTCCCCAGACTAAATGTTTCCAGTCTTCTACTGACAGGAAGTAACAGGTATATCTCTCCAAGGCTGGCCATCTATCCTATCAGTTTTTTTTTCGTTCAACCCGCGGGCTGAATTAAAAAAATTGATGCGATTCCTCTATCAACACAAACAGCGTGTCGATCGAGGAATCGCTGCTGTTTGCATTGTATTCTGATGGGTGCCGCCAGCACCTGTCAGAATACCATATCAAAGCGGGCAGCTCATTGGCTGCCTGTTCTGATTGTACGAAGATTTTTCAGCCACCTCCTTTGATCAGCTGATCGAGGAATGCCAACTGGAAAGGAGTGAACAGCGCCACACACTGTGTGAATTTCAGCCAGTGTATGGGCACTTTAACAGGTCACCAGATAGCAGTAAAAAACTTTATAGGGGCTCTAACCCTCCTCCTATTATGTCTAAAACAAAAAACATTATTAGTCATACACTTTAATAGAAATGATACATTTGTACTTCATCTCTACAGTAAAACTGAAAAAAACATTTTTTTATATTAACCACTTGCCGTCCGCCCGTTGTAAAAAAACGGACGGACGGCACTGCAGCATTGGCGGGTTGCCGTCGCCAGACGGCATTTTTTTTCTGCTCGCACGCGCTCCCTAGCGGGCACACACGGGCAGAAAAGACCCCAAGCTTCTTTTGGGGTCCACAGGTGACATTAGGGGTCCTAGAGACCCCTAATGTCTCCATAAAGAGGACCTGTCAGTGTGCCTTTGCTATTATATAGGGGGATAACAATCCCCCTATATAATAGCAATAACAATAAGTGTAAAAAAAAATAAAAGTAACATATAAAAAAGTAAAATAAAAGTTACATATGAAAAAAGTGAAAAAAAACCCAAAATGTTTAACTCCCCCACCCCCACGTTTACGCACCTATAAACGTAAATACGCGTCCGGTGCCCCAGCGCGCAAAAATGACAATTGCGCTACACATGTTACATATCGCCGCGAACGTCGCAGTGAGAGCAAT